TAGGCATGAAAGCCAACTGGGTGACTTTGGGCCAATCACCAGGAAATAGTGTGTTCTAGTCCCACCTTAGGCATGAAAGCCAGCTGGGTGACTTTAAGATGCATGGATTTCAGTTCATGCTGACTGGGGAATTCTGGGCGTTGAAGTCAAGACTTTTAAATAGTTGCTGAATTTGAAAAACACCGGTCTATAACTAGGTAAAAAGCAAGCTCTCCTTTAAGTTGTCTCAATTTGTGATGATTTTATAGACTGGTCTTTGTAGGGTTTTTTGGCAACTTGCCATTGGCTTATTCTTAAGATTTCCCCCCCCCTCATATCAGATCTGGCCTATAACTGAGGTTTTTGTTGAAGAGCTCCCAGCAGAGCACTAACCGGATCTGAATCTGTTTAGCTCCTCAACCCAAAGAAGATTATCCAGAGGTTTCCACTGCACTGCCAAAATAATCCTGTCTAATATTCCTTCCTGCCAGGTTGTATGTACACTCAGCAGTGTCAAACTGGAAGAAGTGCCTACATTCCATCAAGTTGAAGGATTCAGTACTAAGTTTGGTGTAAGTAGACAAGATGAACTTAGGGGTTTTATGGATAAATATTTATGGAATTATGTATGATATTTTTTGTAAAAATAAAAATAAAAGAATTGGAATGTGCATATTTGCATTAAAAATCTATCTCATTCCCTGGCCCCCACCCCTCTCTCCTATCAATCAAGTTTCTACACTGCCTGGCTCACCTGACTGACTCTGGGTGATTTCTTACATACCACCTCCAATCTCAAAAAAGCTAAATTAAACCCTACATTACTGATATTGCAAACTTTGCTGTTATTTTTCGCTGAAAAGCAAGATATTCAGGATGCTAACATTTCTACGATTGTCATACTGCAGAATTCTCAAATGCTTCCTTAGGAAGTCCCATTCTATTCCACCTCAAAAATGTTGTCCATTTACTTCAAAAATTGTGTTCCTTTTCCCTCTATCTGTTTAGGCACGTGAAAGGGCGAGTCCTTGTGGCCCTGGCAGATGGGACCCTTGCCATATTCCATCGGGGAGAAGGTGAGGGTCAGTTGCTATAAATGATACCCAGTTGCTGAAAACTGGACAGAGAAAATTAACTAGGATTAATTAATTTTGGGGGTGCCCTTGTAAAAATTAACTTGTCTCATGGCCACTTAACACTGCAGTTGGCAGAATCTAGCAGACAGGAAACATTTTGGTGTGCTCCATAGAAATTTGGGATACTGTATACTCGTACTTATAGCTTCAAATATGAACGTTGGTCTAGATCGGGTTATGCTTTCAGAGTTCAGGGCCTGGAATAGTGGCCTTAAGAAAACCAATTCCAGTTCAGCTATACTGAAAATTTTGTAACTATCTGGGTGGCTTGATTGTAGAACCAATTACTTCCTTTGCTGAACCAGGGTGGAAAACTAAGTGTTCGAGACGCTTTAATATAGATTCCTAAAGCCAAGGTTGGATTCCTAAAGCCAAGGTTGGATCCCAAATGGACCTGTTCAATTCAGTGTGGTTCTGTTGTTCAAAGAAGTGCCTGATTCCTCAAGGGGATTCCAGTCTCAAAACAGCTCTTATTGTCTTCTCCTCTCCCTTCCTTTTTCTTTAGATGGTCAGTGGGATCTCAGCAATTACCATCTCATGGACCTAGGCCACACCCATCATTCCATTCGCTGCATGGCTGTGGTATACGACAGAGTGTGGTGTGGCTACAAGAACAAAATTCATGTCATCCAGCCAAAGACAATGCAGATCGAGGTAACGGGAGTATCTGACCAGCGTCCTACTGCTATCCTTAGGAAGTCCCTTCCTCTTCTCTGCTTTTTTCTTAAGATACTAAAAGCTTAATTTACTTTGACAGCTAAAGGGTACATGAATCAGTCGGAGACCACCCAGAAGTTATGTCACTGAAGATAAGAATATTTTTATTTTCACATAAGCTTTCATGGACCACACCGCTTGAAAATAGCCCCCCCAAAAAAGATTCAGTTGCATCCCCTAACTTTTGGTGTCCACCCCCAATTCTCCTGAGTTGTCATCAAATTTCTCATGGGCCAGGAAAGGAAATTTATCAAACGAATGTGGGAAAGACCTCACTGGTGTTATTTATTTCTCTTTTAATTAAATTTAAATTAAATCAAGATGAGATATATTTTTTTGGTCCTGGCCTGGCTGAGTTCTTGACTCCATCTCCTTTGGGGTGTGAACACCCTTGTCCCAGTCAGAAGTCAACAATAGCTCTTTCTTTGGGGGGGGGAAAAAACCCTGCTTATGGATTAGTTGATAACTTAATGCCAGTTACTTTTAAGCAAGGCAGCTGAGATTATTATTGGAAAAGCTATAATTTTAGAGCAGGGTGGCTGATATTTGAGGTTGTGGTGTGCTAGTGGACGTACAAGAAACCTAAGAAAGTTAGGTTTGTAACTGTTGTAAAATCAAAGCTTCCTTCCTTGATGGTTTTTCCAGAAGTCCTTTGATGCTCATCCACGCCGGGAAAGCCAGATCCGGCAGCTGGCCTGGATTGGAGATGGAGTTTGGGTTTCCATCCGTCTGGACTCCACTTTACGGCTCTATCATGCCCACACTCATCAACATCTCCAGGATGTGGATATTGAGCCCTATGTCAGCAAAATGTTAGGTAAAATGAAATGGCATCACAAGCATTCCTCCTTTTGAACTTTTTTAGCTTCTTCTTCCTTGTTGCTCCATGTGCTTAGCACTGGCTCTTACAATAGTGTCCTTCTATGACCCTTGAAGTCCCCAGCAAGCTTGGTTAAATAGCTGTCAGGCCCAAGTAAGCCGGAACAAGCGTTCAAAGCATTAAAAGTTTATTCCAGACTTCCTCTACACAAGAATCTGGCCTACTAATGGTCAAGACCTTAAAGTAGTGCCAGATAAGAGTCAATGGAATTCACTGGGAGTTGAACATAGGTCTCATGTGGCTACGTAAGGATTCCAAGCTAATGATGTGTTTAACCCTGCCTTCCAGCTTAGCCTGGTCACCTCCTATAGTAGCTAGCTAATGTTTGTAGATCTTTCTTGAACTTTTGGGTATTGCTTGTACAATACCAGCCAATGACATGTTGCTCTTCTGTTCAGGGACTGGAAAACTGGGTTTCTCCTTTGTGCGAATCACAGCTTTACTCATCGCTGGCAATCGCCTGTGGGTCGGCACGGGCAACGGAGTGGTCATTTCTATCCCTTTGACTGAGAGTAAGTGGTTGATGTTTGCATGTTTTCAATTATTTCCTCCGTTGTATGAAGAAACGTCAGAATTATCCCTAATGCTTTTCATTCCCTCCGTGAAAAAAAAAAATGATTTATATTTCTGCCAAGATTGTCTTTTAGCTGTTCTCCCAATAACCACTTTTTTCTCCCCCTCCCCCGATCTGTTTTTTTCCCCTCCCTCTTGGCTTCCTCCTCTGCCTTAGCGGTAGTCCTTCACCGAGGTCAGCTTCTTGGGCTCAGGGGTAAGTACTTAACCAACAAGGGATTCCTAGGATGGGATGTTTTAAGCTTTCCACTCATTTTTCCATCCCTTGATTCATCTGCTCACTTCTCTTCTTTGGGCCATCTCCCTCCCCATTCACTCAGAAATTGCCGGGGAAATGGAACAGGTGAAATAGTGGGGTGAATCAAATGGGTGACATGCTTGGGGATGATTGTAGTCCACACTACCTGAAAGTGTGAGATTAGGAGATTGTCCATAACATTTCCCAGATGCCGTGAAAGGAAGTTACGAATGAATCCGTTTTAATATCTGCAACGGAGAGAGAAACCATCCATCTTTCCCCACTTTGCTTGTTGACTTCTGTTTCTCTTCCTTTGGTCTCAGCCAACAAGACCTCGCCAACATCTGGAGAGGGGAACCGCCCTGGAGGGGTCATCCATGTCTACGGTGGAGATGACAGCAATGACAAGTCCACCAGTAGCTTCATCCCCTATTGTTCTATGGCGCAAGCCCAGCTCTGTTTCCATGGACATCGCGATGCGGTCAAGTTCTTTGTCTCCGTCCCTGGTCAGTAGCGCATTTCTCGGTCTTTGTGTATAAAACTGCAACATCAACTTTCCCCAAGCAGTTTGTGTCCCATATAGGTCCAAAATATTAGTCACTTTCTGGAAAGTCACTATTCTCCAAAACACCTGAGGGCAGGACAAGAAGCAATGGGTGGAAACTAATCAAGGAGGGGAGCAACCTAGATCTAAGGAGAAATTTCCTAAGAGTGAGAACAGTTAACCAGTGGAACAACTTGCCTCCAGAAGTTGTGAATTCTCCGACACCGGAAGTTTTAAAAAAGATGTTGGACAACCCTTTGTCTGAAGTGGTGTAGGGTTTCCTGCCTAGGCAGGGGTTGGACTAGAAGACCTCCAAGGTCCCTTCCAACTCTGTTGTTCTGTTCTGTTCTGTTCTGTTCTACTCTACTCTACTCTACTCTATTCTCTCCATCTGAAAGATTTCTACACTAATACATAAAATTCTGGTAATTTGTGAGCTCGACATATTAAGTGTCCTGCAAAAAAAGGGACCAGATACTGCACTTGATCTCAGCCAAAATGTTGAGAAACAAATAGTTTTTATTTTTATTTTATAATGTTTTAGATTTATCACCTGGGTAACAACTGTACTGACATAGCAGTAGAGAAGGGAAGGCTATATTGTTTGATTTATTTTGCCAGCTGTTATTATATTATTACATTTATTTGCTTCACTCTGTTTAGTTCTTCTAAATTTTTCTGACCATCGACTAAATAAACACTGATTGCAAAAAAACCCAAAAGGAACAAAGCAGTTGATAAATGCTGTATTTACCGCTATGTTTGAATCACTGTGTCTATAACACTGAGTGATCTTTTTGATTAGAGTCGTAATTTTCATATTATGATGTTAGTCTCACAATTGCACATCAGACAACAGTGGAGAAGAGACAGACTTGGGATTAAAACTGCCACACTGTAGAAGCATTTCAGGTTAATAAGGAAGAACTGGCAGGGGAGGAACAAATAATTATAATACTTAAGCCTGGCATCGTTGCAACTTCACAGGCTGCCACATCACTACCCAATTGCCCTGTGATTTGAAAAATATTCCCATGTCAGTCCTGCTTCGTTTTGCTTCAAGCTGCTGTCCCAGAGCCTTGTCCTCTTCTTGAAAGGTTGGAGTGGAGCTGCTGCTAATTAGCTCTACGTCCTTTTAGGAAACGTCCTTGCCACGTTGAATGGGAGTGTTCTGGACAGTCCTTCAGAGAACCCCAGCACAGACACCGTCGAGGAGGAAGGACAGAAGCTGAAAAATGTCCTCGTGCTAAGTGGGGGTGAAGGATACATTGACTTCCGGATTGGTGAGTTTCTGGGAGTTGAAGTCCACAAATCTTAAAGCTGTCAGGTTTGAAGACCCCTGGACTTGAACGTTGCAGAAGGGGATCATGTGACCCCAGGACCCTGCCACTGTCGTAAATATGAACCAGTTGCCAAGCATCTGAAGTTTGATTACTTGACCACGGGGGATGCTGCACGGTGAAAAACGGTCATAAGTCACTTTTTTTCAGTCCCGTTGTGACTTTGAATGGTCACTAAATGAACTTAAGTTGAGCACTTCCTTTACTATGCAAAAAATAAATTCTTTGATAGTAAAGAGTTCTCTTGTGCAAATCCAAGGTCTCAACACGATTGGTATTTGATCGTCTGTTTGGTGGATTTTGCTGAGAAGGGAGCTTTCTTGATGCTGTATTTTTTAAAATTATTATTATTATTATTTCTCTTCCCTCTAAAGGAGATGGAGAAGACGATGAGACCGAAGAAAACACGGGCGATGTTGCCCAGGTGAAGCCTATTCTCTCCAAGGCTGAACGAAGCCACATCATCGTCTGGCAGGTATCTTATATCCCGGAATGAGCCTCTCTTCTCTTCCTGCCAATGTAATTTTCTCCCTTCTACTGACACCCACTTCCCGAATGCCAATATGTACATATGGAACTTTTGCATAATTCCTACCGCTGGCCTGTCCGATCCCAGATAACTACAACTGTTCCTGTGCCATGCAGTGGCTCCCTCCCTCTCCAGGTTTACAGTGATGGTCTTGAGCTGGTGGGACTTTCTAGACTGGCTGGGTTACCGCTGGCTTTCCGGCAAGAGGGAATTTGTGGATGAAGTTGTTGCACCAGAAGTCGAGACGCGCAAAGGAAGATCACCCTTGGCTCAGAAGGACTGGACAACTTTCCCCTCCTTCTCTTCCTTCTTTCCTTCTTTCCTACCTGCATGGAGAAAAGTACCTATGAACTGCTTAACTGGCTCACTCCCTTTACCAACATGGAAACCGTGTCGACAGTTGGATTGGGTCTCCAAGCCAGTATGAGCGAGATGTTTTTGAGAGCAAGCAACATCCCTGTTACCTTTCTCCTTCGCAATTATTCTGTGAGGTCCGGGCACGAATTTAGGAGCGATCTGAACTTGGCTAACATGTCTTAAAATCTGTACCAGGAAGGTTTTCAGGTATGTTTGGGAATTATAGCCACATGTCAGCAGTTGGCATTGTATCTAAAATATGGGCTCTGGGCACAGGATGAGTTCCCATCGCTAAATTTATTTTAATTGGGCACTGGTGGGTTCACTGTGGTCTAGGCACCACTCTGGTAAACCGTTCTGAGCTCTTGGAAGGAGCAGAAGGATAGAGTTGCAATAAAGATAATAAGGGTTTACCAGATGAGCAGGGAGGCTACCTGAAGGTGGGATTGCCTTCTTGCTACTCTATACCTGCCTTATGGCAAATGGCATCCTAAAGGATGAGAAGGCAAGATACACATTGAGGATCTTGTTTACAGCAAGCCAGAAAAACCTGAACTTCTTCCTCCTTGAAATATTGCAGTATTCCAGAACCGTGTTGGATGGATATTTTGGAGGGTAAAAGCCACGTTCAATGTATCTGGGGAAACTGCAGGAATATAAGTCAGGTGATCTATCTCGAAAAGAGAAAAGTCAGGGCAGGAACTAAGAGAAATGGAAGACAAATGGGTCAGAGAATGCAAGAGTGGAAACTGTAGAGAGATAGGCAATTGTCCGGGAGAAGGAAGTAGGGAGGAGGGGAAGTGAAGGACAGCTGGAGGTTCCTTCTTAGGCTAGGAGTTGTAGAAGCAGCAACAGAAATCTGAGATAGACGAGCCTGATGAGGTCCAAAAAGGCTGCTAAGGAGATGAACTTTATCTTCTATAAAGATACATTATTTGGAGGTGTTTCAAAGGTTGATGAGCTTGGTCAGACCCCAGGACCATCCCAGATGGGCTTAGTATCTCTTCTAGCCTTTCCCAACTGGATGCCTTCCAGCTGGGTCTATCAAGGCAATTCCCCCAGTCAGTTAAGGTCAGCTTCTAGGGTCTTCATCGACACATCCGTGTTGGTTTCTTCTTCCCCTTTTTCCAACCACAGTCTGGCCTACAACCCTGGGGTTTGTTGATGGCCTCCTATGCCAGTCTGACCTGCTTGGCTTTTGGGGATCAGCCATGGTTCACCAGGTGCTACAACCTACCTAAACATATGAGGACTATGTTTCCCCAAAACTTAAATCAAGGGACTTCTAACTTGGCAAGTTTAAGACTTGTGGACTTCAACTCCCAGAATTCCTGAGCTAACATAACTGGAGGAGGAATCCTGGGAGTTGACATCCACAAGTCTTAAATATGTCAAGTTTGAAGACCCCTGCTCTAAATCCACCTGGCCAAAAGGGAATTCAGAAAGTTGTACTTCTAACACGAAGGGTAGCAAATTGAGAAGGTTGAATATAGCATGACAAACCCATCCAGCCTACGAAATTGGCTCCGTGATAAAAATGAAAGGTTGATTGAAGCCGCAATGCTATTCATGGCTCAGAAAGTAGGCTGTTCTTAGTTTGATGGGATTTGCTTCTGGGTAGTTACAAAGCACTGCGTTTTCCCAAGAGGAGAATGAACAAACATATATATAAAGAAAGAGAGACGGTGCTTAGGATGGGTACTCTACAACGTTTCTTGGCCATGTTAAGAAATTTGGATTTAAAATCATGGAGAATTCTGGGAGTTGAGATCCACACTTCTTAAAAGTGGCCGAGGTGAAGAAACTCTGCAAAGAAAAAAAAAACTAAACCAAAAAAAAAAAAAATAGCAAAGGCACGAGAGCATATCCTGTTCTTACATACATTTGAAACCGAGTTTGTTTCTTTCTTTGTTTTTTAAAGTTTGATGAAGTCTCCAGCCTCTCTCATTTTTCCGGCATTTACTAGTCCTAACCTTGCTTGTTTGCTGCATCTGCTCCCAAGCCTTTTGCAGTTGGGAGCATGTTGAAAAGAAGCACACACACGTGTGAATGGCGTGGAGGAGGAAGAGGAGGAGGAGGAGACAGTGAAGGAGACAGCATCTAAAGAATGTGCTCCTTTTTAGGGGCTGTCAGCCAGCCAGGAGGAACGCTGACTGAGGGGCCTCACACACAGAGAGAGAGAAACCTTTCCTGCTGCAATTCCACTGTGATGTATGTAAAGTTGACTTGTATGTTATAAAAGGATTTTTTTAAAAAAAGTTGTCTTGAGGCTGTAAAACTCTGCTGTTTTGTTTGAAGATGTAAAGAGACGGCTGTATGAAAACTAAACCTCCCCCGTGCTTTCTCCCTTCCGTGCTACCAAACAAACTGAAAATCATATCTGTTCTGTATGTAATAAAAATGTATTATCGTCACGGGTCTGAGAGCATTGCTGAAACCCCTGAGAAAGATGGAAGATTCTCACATGCAACTTCCAAGGAGGGAGGCCTCCACCTCTTAGTGGAATACACACCAGTGGGGGGGGGGGGAGAAAGTGACATTGTTAAGTGTGTAGTCAGAGTTCTACGTGGCTGGTACATATTGTGGAAGCGTTAACGCTCTCTAAAGTTACTTGTTTTCTTGGAGACATCTCATGACCCAACTAGGTATCATCATCAGTACCAGAAGGGGGTGGGGGTTTTGCTCTTTTTCTATGTACTGTACTAGTGGCTTTCCCTATCAGTGTTGGTAGGGGTGTTGTTCTTTCCATGACAGCTCCTTGGTTAGGCTGTTGTTTACTGTTCGTTTGTCTGAGTTGGTACTTTCCTCACTGCAGTATTGTTTACTGATGGATTTTTGGTTTGATTTTAACCCTTGTTTTAATCTTGATTTATCTGGGTGTTGATTGCTGGCAAGGAGGCATTCTGGTGAAGTAGGTAAACGAATCAAAGTAAATAGTAAACAGTTCCAAAGGTTCTTTTATACAAGAGGCAGCTAGACTTTCTGGTTTTTCTTTGAAGACCCAAGAAGCTTCTTCAGCTTTGACTGGAAGATGGGGAACGGAAGGATTTATATTCCTTGCAGACAGCTTCCTTATTTGTCAATGTAAATCCTTCCATTCTCAATCCTCCAGTCAGAGCTGAAGAAGCTTCTTGGATGAGAAGTGAAAGGTCTTCAAAGAAAAGCAAGGAAGTCCATTTGCCTCTTCAAAAATAACCTTTGGGACAACCATGACTTGGAGGACTGAGAATCTCCATAGACATTTAAATAGTAAACAGCCTAATCAAAGAGCTACCAAGGGGGGGGAAACCCCTCTTACCAACACTGGCAGGGCAAGCCACTTGTATATAATCAGACAGCAAACCCCACTCCCTTCTGGCACTGATGACATGACCTACTTGGGTAAGGAAACGTCTGCAAGTCGACCACCAAGCAAGCTCAGAGAGCACCATAGTTCAATGCCGAGTTACAAATATTCTACTAGCTGCACACTCCACGACTGCCACTTTCAGTCCTCTGTATTTGCCTGCTGAGTCCTTATTTTCCAATCCCTCAAGGGGGCAGCCCTATTCTCGCCTTGCCTTCTCCAGACTCAATAATCCACAATCTCTAATTACACAACCTCTCTGAAAACAGAAGGAATGAAAAGGGCTGTCTTTCCCAAATTTATTTTACAAAACAAAACGCAATGTTGAAAAGCAATAGGCTTGTACAGACAGACAAAATACCCTCGGAAAATATTTGCAAATAGAACTGTGCGTCTCGTTCCAGCATTTCAGTTGGTAACTTAATAGTATAGAAACCTATAGATCTCGCAGGTCTCTCTCTTAAGCAGGCATTAATTTGTTCCCTGTTCGACATATTTTTGCAACCCCAGGGGCTGAACATAGCATTAGAAATGAATTAAAGCACTTGTCCATCCTGAAGTATTAAAAACTCACTTTAGACAGGTGGAACAATCAAACTACAGTGCCAGAAATTCTGCCCTTTCAACCATCATTCTTTCCTGCTCCTTAAAGAGAATGAGATTAGTTTTAGCATTTAAACTGGGAAAAAAAAATCCACAAAACATTTGACCATAAGGCTTTGTTCCCTCTGCCTCCTAATTAATTGGGAACAAATTATTTTCGTTGCTTGGCAGTCAAACATTGCTCTCTTTTATCTTAGAGTGAATTTTTGGAGAATTAGATGAAAGGTTAGAGAAATATTCTCCAGCTCTGTCCAGCAACAAAAAAAACCAAATAAGAAATTGGAGTGAAAAGCTTAATGTAGGAGGGACATTTGAAGAATAATATCTGATTGGAAGACATCTGTGCACTTGTGCTTTTGCAGATATTATTCAAGGAACATATCAGCCGGTGCTCTATTTGACATGAGTCAGTGTGCGATACATTCAGAAGATTCCCAGCTGGGGAACTCCAGACTCCAAGAGATTTTTTAAAAAATGGTTATTCATAAATCCAGTGCTCTCTGCTATCTTTCCAACAGATCAGTTCTTCAGAACGAAACCAGAGTGCAATTTCTCGCTGAGCAGTCTCTACCGAATCACTGCCATGAATCACGTTCCTACAGAGAAAGAAAAGGTAGTGTAAGAGGAAGTTGAACTTATTCGGAGAGAAATATATTACGTACAAGACAAGGTTCACCTCCCTCTAGGGTACATACCTCCTTATAGCCCTACCTCCCATCGAAACACAAAAGACACAGAGGGAAATAGAAAAGAAAGGCCCGTCGATTCCAGAGGCACCAGGACAGCCCTGCTTATTCACAGGTTCTACAGTTGTAGCGATTTTATCTCAGAATGATATTCAAGCTAGATATTCAAGGAGCCGTGGTGGCGCAGTGGTGAGAATGCAGTACTGCAGGCTACTTCTGCAGACTGCCAGCTGTCTGCAGTTTGATCCTGACCGGATCAAGCTTGACTCAGCCTTCCACCCTTCCAAGGTCAGTAAAACGCCCTAGATGGTTGGGAGCAAGATGCTGACTTTGCAAAACCGCTCAGAGAGGGCTGTAAAGCACTGTGAAGCGGCAGGCAAGTCTTAAGTGCTATTGCTACTGCTGTGACACTTGCAGTGTCCTGGGGCTACATGATCCCTTTTTGTGACCTTCTTGACCAGCGAAGTCAATGGGGAAACCAGGCTCACTTCACAACCACGTTACTAACTTAATAATTGCCGTGATTCACTTAACGGTGGCAAGAAAGGCTGTAAAATGGGGAAACACTCCCTTAACAAATGTCACACTTAGCACAGAAATTTTGGGCTCAACGGGGGTTGCATGTCGAGGATGAATGACTTCAACTCACTTGTCCACTTCGATGCAGAAATCTCCTCGGATGGTTCCAGGGTTGGAATCGGCTGGGTTGGTTTCGCCGATCATCAGGCGGGCAGTTTTGACTACCCCCTGCCCTTGCCAGACCTTACAGAAAGGAAACAGAGAATGTTCAACAGCCACAACTTCGATGCCTCTTTCTTTCAGTCACCCAAAAGTTCTTGGAGGAATAATGCCATTTGGGTCAATGGCATTTTTCCCCCCAAAAGCAAAAATTATTGATGAAGTAGAAGAAGGCACAGTAGTTCTGCCCCAACTGGCAAGAAGTGTGGTTGGCATCTTCTCAAAACCAATAAGGCTAAGAAAAAGCTAGTGCCTAAGAAAGATGCAACAAAATGTGCACCAAATATTTAGTGGTGAAAAATTCCAATACCCTTTTTATTGCTTTGAGGCTGCCCTGGAAACTTCAGGAAGACGAATCAAAATAGTGCAAGAGAGAACATTTTGGGCCTCTATAAATTGAGGAGGAAAAATTCTTGCAACTCAAAAAGTCCCACTTGGCCAAAGTTGCTGGGCTTGACGAATATCTCAGGCTGAGTCTGGAAAACTACCTGAGCCCTTGGACTTCGGGTTGTCCCTCAGAGGGGAGCATTTGACCTCAGGAAATTTAATGATTTGATGTTTAGCCTCTTATATCTCTGTTCCTCACCATGGCCACAATCGGTCCCGAACTCATGAATGACACCAAGCGGCTGAAAAAAGGACGCTCACGGAGAGAGTTGTAATGTTCCTTCAGCAACTCTTCTGATGCCTGAGTAGAAGATACATCAGATGCAATCAACAGGTTACAGACATTAGTAAAAACACTGGATACTAAGCTCCCACTGGCAGATTGGGAAGGAATTAAAATCTTGGGCAGGTTCTTCAACCAAACTCAGCTTCAACATGTACTTGAAAGCTCAAAAGAGGATAATCTTCTATCTATATATATAAAAGCAAAATACCACTCACGCATCATCACAAAATCTCCAGAACCGTAAAGCCTACAAATTTGAAATTTGGCACGTATATTCCTCTTGGCTTCTAGGTGCTCACTAAGAAAGGATTTTTCGAAATGATCATCAGAGCATTAGTATTTCCTATATTATTATTATTACTAACACGCTCTGATGCTAAGGAGTTCTACTCCCCCTCCCCACCTGAAAAGAAATCCCTTCCAAATGCAAAACACAAGCAGAGGAGTTTCAGTTTTAGTTTCACCGTAGCAACCAGTTTTAGTACAGCTCAGTTGAGCTAAGCCATGCCCAGGCTCCTTGCTGTCTCCTTGCTCACACAGCAAATACTGTTTCAGCTTCCAAACAGCCCTCAACTCTCTCTCACACTGGCAGGACACTAGCCAGATGAATACTGATGGATGTTGGTAGACAGAGGCACAATTTTCCCCCTTATTTTCCTCCCCCAAAACTAAGCCTGATCACATAGTTTCATAGAGAAGCATGGGTATAGAGCTAGTACTTTTAATAAGGCCATCTGTTCTACAGAGTGCGTAGGAAACTATAATACCAATAATACAAGATAAGGGATAAAAGGACCTATCTCAGCCAGATTAGATCTCTATGTTTGATATCTATCTGGCATTTTGTCTGAATCCTGTAGGAATGAAATGGTGAATGAGGAGCAGAAAGAATGATGATAAATGTTATTTGCCCCAAGTATCGCCAAACCTGAGGAAGACTAAAATAATCATAATTAGTTTTGGTTAGATCTGTTTTCTCAACAACTTTAAGATGGGTGGGCTTCCACTCCTAGAATTCCCCCAGCCAGCATGCCAACTCGCTGGGGAATTCTGGGAGATTTCATCTCAAAAGTTGCCAAGGTTGGGAAACGCTGGGTTAAGTGGACAGAGTCCTTGACCTCCAAAATGGCCGCTCGTCAGAGAAAAGGACAAATAGAAGTTGGTTTGGACGTAATTATATTGTTCAAGGCTACTGTTGACTCTGATTTTGCTGGCTTTCAGAAAGACTTGGCTATTTTCCCCAAGCATAGAAATCCAGAAAATAATTGAGGGCATATTCACTGGCTGCACCGTTTCCTTGATGGCCATTTTAGACTTTTGACCTAATTTATTTTATTTCAATTTTCGCAGGATCCAATCTGAGTCAGGTCCCTGGACCAGAGGTTGAGTCTTCTCAGCTTTTGGACTTTTGAGGGAACCCATCCTCAGGGAACTGCTAGAGAGACGCTTGGAAGACAAAACCAGTGGTCCCAGTGACCGGCCCAGACTGGATCCTGCAACATTATCCTGGGACAGGTGTATTTCGCCTTCATTTGCCTTAATTTCTGTTAACTGACCAGAGTTACATTCAGTGGTGGGATTCAAATTTTTTTACTACCGGTTCTGTGGGTGTTGCTCTTAGGCATTGCTTGGTGGGCGTGGCAGGGGAAGGATACTGTAAAATCCCCATTCCCTCCCTACCCCCTAACCTGCTTTCCAGCTCTGTTCTCCTGTGCAGGGCAACCAAAGAAGACCCAGCCGATCAACTGGGACTCAGGAGGCAGAGAAGAGATGGGGTTGGTGGGGCCAGTCAGAGTGGGTATTTGCTGGTTCTCCAAACTACTCAAAATTTCCGCTACCGATTCTCTAGAACTGGTCAGAACCGGCTGAATGCCACCTCTGGTTACATTTAAAGAGACGGGTATTATTTAGACCTGTGAATTTCAATAAATAATAAAGGCTTCATTCACACACCTCTAATTTAAAACAGACCAGGTCACCCACAATAAGAAAAACATCAACCAGAGTCCCTGAGTTCTACCTGGGAGCTCCCCTGGCTGTTCTCACCTGCATGAGTTTCATTGCCACCAGCTTGAATCCCTTCTTCTCAAAACGCCGGATGATCTCACCAACCAGATGCCGCTGTACCCCATCTGGCTTGATGGCAAGGAAAGTGCGTTCATTCACTCCCGTAAAAGCTGGAAACAAGAAACAGGCATTATACACTGGCAAGATACCAAGGATGGAGGAAGTCTGATGAAGGGTCCTTGATGCTCTCTGAGCTTGGTTGTTTTCTTGTAGACGTTTCATTACCCAACTAGGCAACAACATCAATGCCAGAAGGGGTTTGCAAAGAGGAGAAAGGAGAGGAGGAGGTGGAGAACTGTGGGGCCCTTGGTATTCTCTGAGCTTGGTGGGGGTTTTTTGCAGATGTTTTATTACCCAATTAGGTAACATCATCAGTGCTAGAAGGGAGTGTTCAAGGAACCGAGAGCAAGCCGCACTCCTTCCAGCACTGATGATGTTACCTAGTTAGGGTAACGAAACGTCTGCAAGAAAACAACCAAGCTCAGAGAGCACCAAGGACCCCTCCTGTCAACCCTGAGCTACAGAGATTCTCCTTTATTGGTAACATCTAATACCCATCGTTGGTTTGGGGAGCAGATTCCAAGTCATTCTCATGACAGTTCTACAGAGGGATTATTGAGTCTGTCATCTGCAACTCTATAACTGTCTGGTTTGGTTCTGCAACCCAACGAGACAGACACAGACTCCAGAGAGTAATTGGGACTGCAGAAAAAACAATTACTACCAACCTGCCTTCAATCGAGGACCTGCATACTGCAGGAGTCAAAAAGAGGGCTGTGAAAATATTTACAGACCCCTCACATCCTGGACAGAAACTGTTTCAACTCCTTCCCTCAAAACGACACTATAGAGCCCTGCACACCAGAACAACTAGACACAAGGGCAGTTTTCCCCCGAACGCCATCACTCTGCTAAACAAATAATTCCCTCAACACTGTCCAACTATTTACAAAGTCTGCACTACTATTACTATTAATCTTCTCATCACTCCTTATCACCCATCCCCTTCCACTTGTGATGGTATAACTGTAACTTTGTCGCTTTTATATGGACTGTTTCCTAGTATGATTTGATTGCTTATTGTACCATATGACTATTATTAAGTGATGTACCTGATGATTCTTGACTCTTGACGAATGTATCTTTTCTTTTATGTACACTGAGAGCATTTGCACCAAGACAAATTCCTTGTGTGTCCAATCACACTTGGCCAACAAAGAATTCTATCTATTTCTATATATTCTATCTATGACAGATAGCCTTGAACTTACAACCACAATGGGCTCCAGAATTTCCACTACTAAGCAAGGCAGTGAGTCTTGCCTGATTCTACCATCTTTTTTTGTTTTTTGTGTGGCCATGGTGGTTGTGACTCACTGCAGCTGTTAAATGAATCGTGTCCTCCTGAAGTGAATCCACCTTCCCACCTCCATTGCTTTTTGCTTGTCAAAAACTGGCAGGCATCACGTGCCAATCATGTGATGCCAGGACTGTGGTAAATACATGCCAGTTGCCTGAATTTGGATTATTTTGACAGTGGGGACGAAGTGATGTTGCAAGTGTGAGGATCAAGTCACAGGTCACTTTTTTAAAGCGCTGTTTTTCAAGGCCACTCATGATCTTCCCAGCCGGCTTCTGACAAGCGAGGCGCGGGGGGGGGGGGGGGGGGAGTGGCAAGTTGCAGTCCCACGACATCTTGCTTAACAACTGCACCACTTAAACCAGGAAACGTTCCAGTCTCTTTTTGGGTTGCAAATCGAGGACTACCTGTGTTAATAGCTTGTGTGTGGACAGCATCTTCCTTTCAAGCCACGAGAGCTGGTTGGGGAAAGGGTGCAGAGCTGCTGGCGCACAGCAAGGATGTAAAAATGTTTTGAAGAATGAAGGTAGATCGAGGCCAGAGTCCCAAGGGTCTCCCGTAAAAGTGCAGCCTCATCTCACATTCCATCGGGGGGGAGAAAAGGCGAACCCCTCTCGTCTGAAAGTGATCTCGTCCTTTTAATTCCAGCTTAACATGGAAGGGGCGTCAACGGCGTTTGCAAAAGGAGAGGCTTCGAATCCCCTTGGCAGGACACAGAATGAGGGTTGGGGTCGTTTGCACGTGGGGAAAGGAAGATTCCCCAACCCTCATCCTGGGACGGATCCGGAAAGGACTGAGCCGGGGGTGTCTGGAAGCCTTGACACGCAGCTTTGGGATTGAGCCGAAGAACAAAGCGGTTTGTTAAGCGGTTGCTGAGACATCCACCGGGCGCCTTGCAGAGACGCTGCAGCGCGGGCCCTTCCCTTGCCCGCCCCCCGCCCCACCTGCTGCTCACCTGTCTGGAAGATGCTGGCAAAGAAAGCCAGCAAGAAAATCATGGTGGGACCAGCAGCAGGTAGCACCGGCAGCAGCAGCAGCAGCAGTAGCGGCAGCGGGGACGTGCAGGGATCCTGGAAGGGAAGGCCAGGCCGGCCGGTGTCCGGGCGGATGCATGCGCGCGTGCACGCGCCTTCGACAGAGGCGGAGCCCTGCCCGGGACTGTCTTGGGCTTCGGGGGGCGCGGCTGCCGCAGTTCAAAGCCGCGGAGGGGTTGCAGTTGGCACGGAGGGTTTGGTGGGAGAACTGCACGCTCTTGAACGGGACTCTTGAAAGCCGGGATGACCTGTGGGCTTCAATTCCCAGCATGGCTGGCGAATTCTGGGAGTTGAAATGGCCAAGGTCTTAAAAGTGTCCCCTTCCCTTTCCTTCTTGCTTTCCTTTCCTTTCCTCTCCTCCCCTTCTTCCTTTCCTTTCCTTTCCTTTCCTTTCCTCCCCTTCTTCCTTTCCTTTCCTTTCCTTTCCTCCCCTTCTTCCTTTCCTTTCCTTTCCTCTCCTCCCCTTCTTCCTTTCCTTTCCTTTCCTTTCCTCTCCTTTCCTTTCCTCTCCTCCCCTTCTTCCTTTCCTCTCCTTTCCTCTCCTTTCCTTTCCTCTCCTTTCCTTTCCTCTCCTCCCCTTCTTCCTTCCCTTCCCTTCCCTTCCCTTCCCTTCTTCCTTTCCTTTCCTCTCCTCCCTTCTTCCTTTCCTTTCCTTTCCTCTCCTCCCTTCTTCCTTTCCTTTCCTTTCCTTCTTCTCCCCTCCCCTCCTCTTCCCCTTTCCTATTTTCCTTTCCCTTTTCCCCTCTTCTATGGAGATATAATTGCAACATTGGATCCTGGATGCGTAGTGGAGGAGGAGGCAGAAGTCCTGGCCATCCAAACTACCCCTTTTCTTCTGCTGTTTTAATCGCGATATGGCTTCTTGTGTTGGATACTTTTTAAAACTGTATTCTGATGTTCCATACTTGCTATAAGCCCTCTAGAACGGTGTTTTCAAATTGCAATAAATCCTGAAACAATCAACCTGCCGACCGCTAGATGGCAGCAGCGCTGTCTGTAGCTGTAATCGACGAGAGCCGCTCCAGGTGCCTTGTTCTTTTTTTTCCTCTCTCTCTCTCTCCCCCCTCCCGCTCCGCATCAATAGAAGAACGAGCTTCCGGCCTGAAAGGAGCGCCCCAGGAAAGTCTCCGCGCGTCGCTCTACTTCGCCCGCTCCGTGGTTCTCCCTGCGCGTGCGCAGAGAGGCTGCCAGTGACAGCCGGTAGCCATGGCGGCCGGGCCGCCTCTGGAGCACGAAACGCAGATCTTCCTGGATCTTTTCCACCAGGACGGGCTGGTCATCTGCGCCCGCGGGTTGGGCGTCGACCGGCTGCTCCTGCGCTTCCTTCGCCTCTACTGCGAGCCCACCCGGCTGGTCCTGGTGCTGAACACCAGCCCCGCGGAGGAGGTAGGGGCGACCCTCAGCCCGGCCGCGTTCCCACGGGACGCTCTCAACCCGGGTTAACGCCGCGCCTGGCCTTGTAGAAGCCTAGCGGGTGGGAAGGCCAGGCCTGTCATTCAGGGAGGGAGGGAGGGCAGAGTGAGGCCCCGCCTGGGTTTTGGGACAAGTCCAAGCAGAGGATCCAGTGCTCTTTATTTCCCCACCACAACAACAACAACCCTGTGAGGTAGGCTGGGCCGAGAGAGAGAGAGAGAGAGAGAGAGAGAGAGGAACTGGGCCAAAGTCGCCCAATTGGCTTCCGTGGCTTAGTATAGTAATGATGTAGTATAGTTATAGTATAGTTACAGTATAGTTTTGGTACAGGTATAGCATAGGTATGGTATAGGTATAGTATTAGTATTGTATAGGTATAGTATAGGTATGGTATAGTTTAGTATTAGTATTGTATTAGTATTAGTATTGTATAGGTATAGTATAGGTATAGTATAATATAGGTATAGTATAAGTATAGTATGGTATGGTTTAGTATTGCATTAGTATTAGTATTGTGCAGATATAGTATAGTTACAGTACAATATAGGTATAATATAGGTATCGTATAGTATAGGTATGATATGGTATAGTATTAGTATTGTATAGTATAGGCATAGGTATAGTATAAGTATGGTATGGTATAGGTATGGTATTGGTATCGTATAGTATAGCATAGTACAGTTATAGTAATGATGTAGTATAGTTATAGTATAGTTACAGTATAGTATAGGTACAGGTATAGCATAGGTATGGTATGGTATAGGTATAGCATTGTATAGGTATAGCATTGTATAGGTATAGTATAGGTATGGTATAGTTTAGTATTAGTATTGTATTAGTATCAGTATTGTATAGGTATAGTATAATATAGGTATAGTATAGTATAGGTATGGTATGGTTTAGTATTATATTAGTATTAGTATTGTATAGATATAGGTATAGTATAATATAGGTATAATATAGGTATAGTGTAGTATAGGAATGATTATAGTATTAGTATTGTATAAGTATGATATGGTATAGGTGTGATGTTGGTATTGGTATACTATAGTATAGAATAGTATAGTTATAGTATAGTATAGTCTTTATTGCCATTGTACATCATATATACAACGAAATTGGTTTAGCCTCTCTGGTGCAATCCATAACAGAAAATACAAAACTACATAAATGGCATAGAGAATAATCCCTATACAAGTAATTGGGAGGGAAAGACTAGTCACACCTTTCCATATCTGATTAAGAGTCTTATAGCCCGTGGGTAGAAGCTGTGTTTAAACCTGTTTGTCTGGATGGCTGTGCTTCGATGTCTTCTGCCCGATGGTAGAAGCGAAAAGAAACACTGGCCTCGGTGTGAATCATCCCTGTGTATCTTCCGTACTCTGCTGAAACAGCGAGACCTGGGCGATGTCATCCAGTGGTGTTGAGAGAGCAATTGATGGCTTCTTGTGCAGAATTGATCACTCTCTATAGCGCCTTCCTGTCCGCGGCTGTTAGACCAGCATACCATGCTGTTATACAGTGTGTGAAGGCAGGACTAGAACTCACCGTCTCCTGCTGACTGGCCCAAAGTTACCCAGCCTTCTTCATTTATTTATTTTAATTTATTTATTGAACTTATATTGCCACCTATTCTGCCGTGGCGACTCAAGGCAGCTTACAGAATGTAAAACCACATTTAAAACAATAAAAACTAATAAAAAGAATCAAATAAACTGATAAAATACAATAGAACAAAATCATCCCCCAACTCCCACCCACCCATCCTGCCCAGGCAACAGCAGATCACACAAGCCATTTGATGGGCTCCATCCCTCTCTGGGTTCCCCAGGCCCGCTGGCAGAACCAGGTCTTCAGCCCCTTCTGGAAAAGTATTAGAGAGGGGGGCGTTCTAATCTCTGGGGGGATGATGTTCCAGAGAAAGGGAGCCACCACGGAGGAGGCCCTTCTTCTGGGTCCCACCAGGTGTATCTCCCTTGCAGGATTCCCTGCCTCCCCGCTCTAATGGGTTGGGTAGATGTGACTGGCAAGAGATGATCACCTGGTCCCAAACCATGAAGAGCTTTAAAGGTGACAACCAGCACCTTGAATTGCACCCAGAACCAAGGCAGTTCCCGCAGGAGAGGCGATACATGTGCACACCGGGGTCTGCACAAAATCATGCGGACTGCTGCATTTTGCACCAACTGGAGCTTCCGGATGCTCTTCAAGGGCAGCCCCATGTAGATCCCATTGCAATAGTCAAGGTGGGAAGCGACTAAGGCACGAGTGACTGTGAGTGGGGATTGTTGGTCCAGGAAAGGGCGTAACTGGTGCACAACCCGCAGTTGCACAAAGGCCCTCCTGGCTGCAAACGCCACCTGCTCTTTGAGAAGGAGTTGTGAGTCCAGGAAAACCCCTAGATTATGTACAGGGTCTGTTTGGGGTAGTGACACCCCATCCAAGACCAAAGGTAGCAATTCTCCCTGAGCCAACGAACCCCAAACCCAGAGCCACTCGGCCTTGCAAGGGTTTAGTTTTAACCTGTTGCTCCCCATCCATCCATCGTTCATCCACCGCCTAAGGTGGGACTAGAACTCACCGTCTCCTGGGGATTGACCCAAAGTCACCGAGTTTCAAGAGCGCTGGTATAGACCTTCTGTGGATGAAGGTCCTGTCTGTGAAAGACTTTACTCAAATGTGGTGTAGCAGAAAACTCTCCACCCAAACTTTCATGTCCTGTGACAGTCAAGCCTTGTAACATCATTTGTGTGAGGGTGTTCTGGCAGAAAATGAGAGATTTATTTACATCCTGTCTTTTATTATTATTTATAAATAACTCAAGGCAATGAACATATCCTGGTGGGTTGGGCTGAGAGACTATCCAGAAATGGAGGGACATCCATCTAATCTTATCTTATCTTATCTTATCTTATCTTATCTTATCTTATCTTATCTTATCTTATCTTATCTTATATCTTATCTTATCATCTAATCTATCTATACATCTATCTATCTATACATCTATCTATCTATCTATCTATCTATCTATCTATCATCTATCTATCTATCTATCTATCCATCCATCCATCCATCTATCCATCTATCCATCATCCATCCATCA